TTGTATATGCAATTTTTACTGATGTGCATGGCTGCATTGTAGCAGGAGTTAAAATCTAAGAAATATTCCATATTTACTACGACGGAGTACAAATGCTAAATGAATGATTATCACTAAAGCAGTTTAAATGTGTAATTATGACCTTAATTATGATATTTGAGTTAGATCTTGTAGGTCTAAACATGATTAACCGGGTAATTAAAATGATTGAAAGAAAGGGAATGTTTGATTAAAAATTGTTTTAAAAAGCCGGTCGCGGCTTTTAAATAATGGTCCAAGTTCGATTCTGAGCAAAGTACGTTGACGTATATTTCCATGTTTTGCGCCGACTACAATTTTCCCCTCCACAAAACACATTACATGATCCAGCATTACCATAACTCTTTCCTTAATTTGTTATTGGGGCTGATTTTGACGCTATGATCCACCAACTTCTGACTGTCTTTGGTTTACTCGTATTTAGTTTTAGCTTCCATACATTTGAATTACACATACTTTTTTCTTGGCTACGATAAAATTTGAGATATGCTACGGAGGGGTGATTGGTGTTGCTCTTTTTGTATTTTTTTTTTTTTTTACAAAATCCTTTTGTATCATTTTAGTAAGCTACATTTTACCTCGTTCCGACTCATCAAGATATAGATCCGTTTTTAGATAGTAAATTTTCTAATTTTTTACTCCTTAATAGTTTAGGTCACGGTCTTGTGAAAAGACGTACCTAATATCCTCCATGCATCTTACTTTATAAAATAATAATAATAATAATATTTACCTTGTAATTTTTTTCAAGACATCCCAACTACTTACTCTATATATACGACATTTTATACTGTATATGATGACTAGTATATATTAGTGAAATTATTGGATTATCTTGCACAACTCTTAAATTAATCGTAATAAATAGGGGCTATATTGCTATTGAGCAAATTCTTTAAATTTAGGTCTAGTTTAATTGACACGGAAAATAAATTACCGTAGAAAGTTGTATTTCATGAAAGTTATTTCCCTCGTGAAATTTCTATGAATTTCATAAAGTTGTTTGGTTATGACAATGGGAAGTTGAAATTCCAATGAATTTTGATTGACCAAGGAGAACTTTAGTAATTAACTTCCTATGTTTTGTCTTCTTCTATTTTTGCTTTTTTGTGTCAACCAAACAAGTATTCATTTTACCAATTCTCATATTTTTTTACTTCCCCCATTTTATTTTGTCAAGCAAACAAGCTGTATTGGTATTAAAGCTAAGTGATATGAATTGACTATAATAAAAGATATGAAGTATTTTGTTAAGCTAAGTAGAAATTTAATTTTGAATCAATTAAAGTTTTAAAATTAATATGCTTGTGTAAGAAATGTTTATATAAGTATTATATTGTATTCAAAATTAAAAGCCTCACCAAGACAATCATATGCATGGACCATCACTCCATAAGCCAAGCACTCAAGAGTCAATAATAGAAAAACAAAAAGGATACATATATTTGCTATACATAATCATGATCCCCATTTTATATAAATATGTTCCTACAACTAGAGGCATTAATTCAGTTGTCCGAATCGAGTTCGGTGAGGTCGAGTCAAGTTGTATCTATTTTTAAACTTGACTAATTGAGTCATGCTAAATTATTGTGTTCACGTAAATTGAAATCTGAATCGGATATTTTTCGAATTAGTTTCGAATTGGCGGGTCGGATGTGGTTTTGACACCTCTAGCTACAACATTATTATACAAAGTATATTTGGACCTACTCAACAATATACTATACATGTACTACATTCCTACATGTCTATTACAGATTACATAGGCAATTGTAAATTTGTAATAATACAACTATACAAGTAGTAATTTGTACATTTACGTTAGAGACCCACTTATTTTGCCATTTCCACGTGAATGTTCCTTGGAACAGAGGTTGATTTAATTTCGTATGGTAGAAAAGGTGATGTATAAATGCATTTAATTCATATTTGCCACCTTACATTAATTAAAAAAAATATATAAATAAATGAAAAAAGTGTTAGAAATGGGGTCGACATTGATGAGTTGAATGATTAAATTGAAGTGAAAATGTTGTCTTTCTTGTGAAGATGACAAGCGGTGGTGTGACCATATATAATTAGCTTGATTGTCTTGCACTTCATCAAAAAGATATGAGTGAACTTAAAGCTTGGCTACAATCCGATCGAAAATTGCTGCCCCGCTCATTATATAGTTATAGTGACCTTATAATAATGAACTTCTTCCTCCATATACATGTTATGGTCGGGTATGTAACATGAGTCAGCGTGTAGGGGTAGTTAAATTTCTGTAATTGAAAAGTGATCAGTTTTGAAATAAATTGTACTCGTATTAAACACACTCAAATTCATATCGTCATTGTCAAATAGTTTCTAATACAAAAATGAATTACTCCGTAACATTATATAAGAACGGATTGTTCAAGAAACCAATAATTTAATTTAGAAGGGGTTGTTCCACATTCAATCAAATAATATATTCATATATGACATATAGACCATCTATATAGTTGATACGTACTAATACTTGGTATTGCTTATTCATAATATTGATGATAATATGTGTCATATATTTTTCAAACAAAATCATGTTAGCTTTATTTATGTATTTATGATAAATCTAGTACCAACTATTATTTACTTATTTAGCCAATCAAATGAAAGGTGCGATGTCCTTAAATAAAAGGAAAATTTGCCGGGAATAACACGGCCTTTGAGCGGTGTTCCAAAAATAGCACCACCTTTCGATTATTCACATTTATAGAGGAAGTATGTGAAAGGTCACGTACCATTTATAGCGGAAGTATGTGAAAGGTCGTTTTATTTTAAAATAATTGAAAGGTGGTGCTATTTTTGAAAGACCGCTCAAAAGTCGTGTTATACCCGACAAATTTTCCTAAATAAAAATGAAAGGTGCAATGTGTCATTCCCATAGATTCTAATATTCTACTAGTATAACATAGTCTCCATGTGATGTGAATCATATGAAATTAGACGTTAAAACTAAGATAAAAAAAATAATCATATATGCCATATATGTTAGATCCACCAAGAAAACGACGTATAGTATAAGTATAATATGTAGTATAACTTAGGGGCTATTTAGTTTGAACGGGGTAAATGGAATGAAATGAACAAAGGAAAGAAAGAGAATGGAATGAAAAACCCGGCCATCTTTATGTTTTAAAAAACAAAGTGAGACAAGCCACCTTCTCCGGACATCCAACCACCACACCGCCCCCTATTTTCTTCCACTTTCTCACCTTCTCCAGCCACCACCTAGCCACCCCATCACCCAGCCACCATTCGCCGCCCCTCGGCTCCCCCACCCCTCGCTGGCAATCTCCTCCCTCAAAACCCTTTCCCCGCCCCTTAAAAACCTAAAAAACCCTCCCCCTCCATGTAAAACAGTCGGCCAACACTCCCCCTACCCCAAAACTCTAGGTCATAATCAACTTGGAAGGATTTGGGGGAATTGAGAGAGTAAAGGAAATGGAAAAAAAGGCAAAACAAACAACAACAAAAAGAATGAGGACAGTTAATTCTCATTCCGTTTGATAAATACCCCCAACTAAACGGCCCCTTAGTCTAAAATCATTAATCAATCATTCAAAATTCACAATGTACATTGTAAAACAATGAGGAAAAGAATAATGTTGACAGTTGGGCTATGTTACTGGGCTTTTTTCTTGCCTCCCATGGGCTGTCTAGTGGCAACTAAAATTGTGGGCCACATAAAACGAAGATCTTTGCTTGCTTCTCAGTTTGGTCCTACTTCTGCTTCATTTTGTTTGTGTTACTAGAAAGGGAGGAAGAAACTCAGTACCAAATGTTTGGTAGGTAAAAGAAAGGATGGACTACAAGGGCCCTAACCACTCGTTGATTGGGGGAAGCTGCCTTGAAAAAAACCGACGGAACGGTAAATGCCTGAGATGACGCCGGGGATTATTCGGACCATTTTTCCCGCGTAGTTCGTCAGTCAAACCATGCCTATCTCTTAACATACGAAGTAAAATAAATTATCAGACCTTAATAGCTTAATCTGTTTGGATCAGTGGATAGGCAACACACACATTACGGTCAAGATTGATGAAGTAAAAAGAACTATTTTCAGTAATTCTAACCTGAGATGTTCCAGTGAACATGTGAACATACCACTCCCTAAAATTGATCAAACAGACTACCAGAGGGATTAACTTATGTTAGTTGAGGTACCAAACCTAACTGTCTACCTTCCTCTCATATTCACAAAGTAATAAACTGTATTTATTTTCATATAATATTCTTATCTTTACCATTTTTTTTCCATTCTATATGTGTGACAAAGTCATTATATATAGTTAAAATAAATAGTTTTTTAAACTATCACACGCACCGCAAATTTGCAAGTGTATAGCGCTAGCATTATACACTACATACAAGTCTTATAGTGAGGGAAGATGATGAATTGACATGGTACATTGATTACTTTTTTCTAAATTGCTTGAAACTATTGTATGATGAGGAGGCCTGCAGTAAATTTTCTGTTTTTCATCTTTGATAGATGAACAATAGTCTTTCAGTATGCAGAACAAAACATTTTGATGTTACACTGCCACCTTCTATTGTCTCTATAAATGAGTTGACCAAGTCTAATCTTCGGAACAACCACATCTCTGTTCAAATTCATGCTGAAATTTTGTCCTGCAACAAAAATACAATTGTTGGACCTGGGAAATAATGGGTTAACTTCCTAGCATTGGAGAATTCTTTAAACCTTAGCTACAAGCTAAAACCAATTTACAGGACTAATTCCACATTTCCACCCCAATTCTCTGAGCAAACTAGACTAGCAGTTCTTGACCTTTTCTCGTAACAAGATCACCGGCAGCTTGGATATCCTGGCAAAGCCTACAAAACCTTATTTCCTTAAATATATCCAACATCTTAAATCTATAGGTTAGCTGATCAAAACTCGATTAAAGATGACACTTGGGAATTGACTCTCTACAAATAGATGGAATCCTCAATAGAAGATGTCATCAACAACTTGACTTCTGCTAATGTAGGAACAGGAAGCTCTGGAGTTGTGTACAAGGTAGCTATGCCTAATGGGGAAATCCTCGCGGCTATAAAGATGTAGTCAAATGAAATAGGGACATTGGGCTGTAACTACAATTGAATCACATTCTGTCTATAAATTCCTACATTGTGGAAGCTAACTCCATCAGCTTTATGCTTTCGTACATTGAATGAACAATGAGCATTTTAAAATTCATAGAGTACATCACAGTTATTCGATCTCTTCATTCTAACTTTGGAATAGAAATTCTGGTTTACTACTCTACCACATTCTGTTCACATCATTGAATCTTTAGGAATAGCAAATGCAAGCAAAACCACCACTCTTACCTACACTCATCAACCACTATTCAGTAATCAGTACAGCAATAATCACCCAACCCCTCATCGATCATCTACAATTGTTGATCTCTAATCATTACATCAGTATCCAGGTAATCTGTGAATTCATAGCCATCCCAAATAGCACAGTAAAATTACCAAATGAAACCGCAATGTGGTAGGAGCAGCACATTACTGTCAAATGAAGCATTTTATAGCAAACTCTGTTGAAATCAACCCATCTGATATTCTGATGTATCATTTGAAAGCAGATATTACCATATTCTGTTTCAACGCATCCTCTCAACAGCTTATAGACATTCAAAGCTACCATGCTGTCTCTAAAAGATCTATCACAGCATACAATGGCTTGGGATTTTCTTTCTGTGAAATCGAATCCATTTTTACAAGATGGAACAAATCAAAGCTTCAAACATAAATGTGGAGCTGAGGCTCATACACTTGAAGGAAGAAAAAAAAAAAAAAACTTAATGATCCCTTAAGAGAACATAAAACTAACACACTTAAAATCATCAAAATACTCAAAAGCACGCATACCCATGTCACTAAGAACAGTAAGAACACAATAATCTGCTAAACATCGTTATGTGATTAATAGACACAGCTTTAATTAAGCAAAAAACTACTTTCCACATCCCGAAACAATAATCATAAATCATATGAAGTAATTTATCATGTCTGGAAAAAATTGTCACATTAAATAGCTCATGTCATACGAGTATTTCCTTTAATAGTAGGGACAGTGCGACAATTATTTTAGAATACCCCGACTGATAAAATGACAAAGAGTAGGCACCTCATTGAATAATGACCACCACAAACGTTAAAAATGGATCAACACATCATTGTTATGCATGTAGTACTAGTACAAAACACACAACATGATTCATTATCATCAAGTAACTCATGGGTTATGAAAGGGACAACTCTAACCCAGCTCAGTCTTTTTTTCATACTAGTATATAATGTGCAAACATTAACTATCAACCAAACACATTAAGTAGAATTCAACCTTCCAAAGATGCTACATTTCACATTTGTCAAACCCACCTAATTCTAACCTCCATTATTTCCATCATCATCATCATAATTATTAATTTTAAAATTATAATATAAATACTATAAAAAAACATTATAATATTAAGTTTATCTCAAAAAAAAATCCTACCTTTTTTCCGTTTATGTCATCATCAACTTTACACAACACATAGATAACAAAAACAACCAAATCCAAACAAAATGTCAAATTTCTCTTGGACCTAATTGGGCCTTAATGGGCCTAAACAAACCCAAAACTAAAAACCCAAAAAAAAAATAAAAAAATGGACCTGTCTATGAAAATCAGCAGGCGTTAATCGGAGCTAAAATCGGACGGTGGAGAAGAGGCGAAGAACAATCAGGACATCTAATCAGACCGTTCTCATTGCACACCAAACAAGATCGAAACCCAATTTTTTCCGAGAAGATTTTATGACTACCGCTACAATCGGCGCAGAGGATAAATCTATACCCACCGCACGTGACGCACGTGCCGGGCTTTTTCGGTGGTATTCCAGAAACAAGCTTCTTGAGTTCACCGATTTCGTTGAGATATTTAACTTCGTCGGCCCCACCAATGTATCTTCCACCAATGAAAACCCGAGGTAATGACAGCTGTTCAGCGGGTTTTAACCCGAGTAGTTCCCGGAGCTCCGACATAAAGCCCAAATCCATTAATATGTCACGTTCATCTATAACCACCTGAAAGCCGTGTAGTATTGCTATGACTGATCGGCAAGCTTCGAATGTGTGCCGGATTACCCGGAGACTGGTGTAGTAAACCACGATTCGGGCCTCGGGGGAGGGTGGTTTTGGGCCGTCTTCTCTAGGGCCGGGGATTGTTGTTGTTGGGTCGGATCTGTTGGCCCATTGTTGGAGGAGGGAGTTAGCGGTGCGAACGCGGTGGAAAACGGAGCGGACGGTTCGGGTTTGGGTTTGGGTATGGGTCGAGGCAGAGGGTTGGCGTTTAAGGGGGAAAAATCGAGGTCGAAATCATGGATGTTGCAGAGATTTTCGATGTCTTTAAAGGAAGAACATCGGAAATTGGAGGAATTGAATTTGTGTTTAGGAGTGTTATTATTGGATTTTTTAGGGGATGATGATGATTTAACCCACGAAGACGGCCACATTGACCCGACCCGGGAAACCCAGAAAATCAACGCATTAATTTAGTAGAGATTTGAGATTGAGGAGAGAGAAAATGAAAGAAAATGGTGGTATTGGTGGTGGTGCAGTGCAATTGGTTGTGTTATGGGGAGTAACGTAAAGGGGAGAAGGAGATGCAAAAATGAAAGAGAGGGAATTTGAGGTGGTGGGAAGAGAGAAAAACAGGAGAGAGAAAATAAAAGGCTAATTAGGTTTCGAGGTTGTTAAGTTGGTTGGATTGGGGAAACTTTTTTTATTTTTAAATTTTTTGTGTGAGGGAATAAATTTATGTATATAGGGGTATAAAGGCTTAAGGGTAATATATATTGTTGATATGGATTAACAAAAAGGGTGTTAGAATTATCATGTACTTTCTTGATTTATAAATAATTGTAGATGAGGGTTGTGTTTGAGGAATGTAAAATAATGTTAAACTTATTGTGATTTTTTCCTTTGATATAAGATTGTCTAGATCTTCCTTTAATGATTTAATGTGGTCATGTTTAAAGTTATGTTTAAGGATATTATTGGTGGTATAAGGTGTGTATGATGTTATAGTCTAGAAAATCAATTTTAGTTGTTTTACTTGTCATATACGAGTATTGTCTTTTTTTTTTTTTTTTAAAAAGCACATATATTGTCTTGTTGATTTATTTGTTCATTTTGGATTGCTTGATGAATTATACATGTTGCATAGTCATGTAAAACAAACATCAATTCCCTTCAAAGAATTCCATCATTTTTTATAAAAGTATGAATTATGACTAATGTTGTATCTAGTCATTTGATTTTCACTTAACTAAACTTAGTTTAACTTATTTTAACGAACTTAAACTTATTATGTATAGCTCTTGTCATAAGTTTTGGTGTTTAGAGAGATATAAGGACGAATGATGAAAATCGATTCCAGGATCGTTGGAACCAATAAGGTAGCTCTCGTCATAAGTCAATTGTTCTATATATACTTATTATACCCTCATTTGGCCTTATTTTGATTTACTTTATTTTTAACAAAAATAAGTAAAATAAAGCGAACAAGACATGACCTAATTGTGATAAAATGCTACAAACCACAAAGGATTTTTCACATTTATAGATTGAGTTACACTATTTAAAATACACTTGATAATGAAAATAGGAGAGAAGTGTTGTTTTCAGTTTTCACTAATTTATTTTTATTTTATTTTTATATATTTATTTATTTTTATTTTTATTTTTATTTTTGAGAAATTGTTTTCACTAATTAATACTATGTAGAACTCTAATTAACGAGATATTATCTCAGTTTTGATTTAAAAACTACACACTACGAATTAATTTATATCAAATGACCATTAGTTTCAACATGTTTTTTTTTTTTTTTGAAAATAAACAAAACACGAGAAGAGAGAGAAAAAATACTCACCCTAGAAGTATGCAAATTTTTTTTTATTTTTTTTCTTTAGTGAACGCTACAAGGAAATAATGTAGATGAAATTCAATTTCAAGTCTTGAGTATTATCCATGCAAAACTTTAGCCAATTAAACTGCTAGTTAGCAATGATATGCACCTTAAAACCCAATAATGAGATTAATGAGGTCCCACTTGTGAATACTCGAAGGATAAGAATGGTGGAAACCGTATTTATATGTTTGGAAGGAAGAGATTGTCATTAGGTGGAGGCAATTTTGGATTAGATACCAATTTCTTTTTGACAAACTTTTAAATAAAACGGATGTTCAGTAAATTACTGAGCATCCGTTATAAAGTGATAATAAAATGTGCAAAAGTTACACTAAAACGCACAAAAGTTACCCTGACATATATAAGAGTTATTTATGCTTCATTGATAAATTTGACAAAAGTGACACTAAATTTAACAAAAGTATTCCCGATGTACAGTAAATTACTGAAAACCGGGTGTATACAAAAGTTTTCCTTTCTTTTTTCGTTTGTTCCATCCCAGCTGGTTAATTAATCAATTAAAAAATGATTACAGATCCTAACAAATGAAAGACATTAATTAGCTAAAAAGGACATTGGACCGGGTCAAATCTTTTGATGTGAAATGTGCTCCTCTCCTCGTGGGAGCCATATACTTTGCCTCATCTATTAATCACATGTGGATCTCTGTTAAGATAGACCTATTTTACTAATTACGAATATAATAATAATCATGTCCATGCTTCTTAATGATTATGTCATGTTGATTACTACATATTTTTTAATTTGTTCTTTTTGTTTTATGAAAAGGATTATAATAAGTTATGATTAATTCCAAATCAAAATCTTTTGTGAATGTGTATCATTCTAAAACCTTTAATAGGCCACTGAATAATGATCATAACTAGAGTATTTTATTCATAAATTAATTATATTTCTAATTTTTATAAATTATGTTTAAATGTGTCTTTAATTTGGAGTATTAAGTAATTAGTCATATTTCTAATTTCTTTAAGTAATGCTTAAACTGTATTGATTTAGTAGGTCCAATACTTATTTGTGTCAATTTATGAGTTTTGTTTGCTTGAGTTATTAATTTATTGTATTATGTATTTTTTTTTTAAAGATAAGATGAAGGGTCCTATCGGGCCGAAATCCCTCACGGGTCAACTCGGTCCTAGTTAGCAGGCTAGACAATTTGGGAGAGTGGGGGGAAGGTAAGGGAATCCCACTCCCAAATTGTCACTAGTGGGGATTAGACCTCCAAGCTCATTGTTGGAAGGTGCTCTCCTTTCCACCATATACATATACATGTCTTTAGTTATTTGATTGAAAATAGTGAAGTATTGTTCTCACCTTCAAGAATCCTAGGATGATGTTAGGAAAAACAATCAAAACATATTAGAAGGATTACTCATTTTATGTACGTAGTAATATAAAATACTAGAAATACAAAACATATCATACTTGAAGAAATAAAATCTACAAGCAATATTATTTAGTAATCAATCTGTAGAAGAGCTAAGGTATTTAACTAAACTGAATCCAATTTTGTACAAAAATTTAATTTGTACTGAGTATTAAATAATCCGTAAGAGATATGATAAATTACTCAACTGAACCTCGTGCGAGATACGGAGTACCAAATTACCAAGTACTACACTATTACTGCATATAGAATATAGATGGTGGTGAGGTATAGTAAAATTCTACTTCACTTTAAATTGAAAGGCATTATTGTAGGAGAGGATATATATATACAAAAAAAAAAAAGAGGAAACATTGAGGGCATGTGGTGTTACTTGAAATGGGGTAATTGATTGGGGCAAAGTGGGTTCTGAAAAAGGGTAGATTGATTATATGGTACTCAATACTCATTTTAGCAGAAGAGATATATTCACATGCATATGCATGCTTCTTATGGTCCCTCCATTTTTAACAATTTTCATTTTCATCTTCATCTTCTCCATTCTTCAGGTCATGGTCCCTACTTTTTTTTTTAATCTCATTTGTGTCATAGGCCCATCCAATGCGGCCTGTTTTATCTGGGCTTTCATGTAGCTAAAGCCCATCCAATTTGTTCCTTGAGAACTCGTTATCCAATTTAACTACATGTGTAAAGGGGTGTTTGTTTCATCAAGTTGGAATGAATTAGTATGGTATCTCATACTTAAGAGGTATGGATTCTAAAATTTGTTTGATTTTATTGTTGAAATGGATTCTATCTTCGTTAATAAAATGGATTGTAAATATTAAGGGAGGGGTGGGGATGGAATTACATGGGTACAAGGGAGAGTCAGAAATTCCAGTACTAAAAACCTCGACTAAACAAAATGCTAGCAATGGATTCTAATTACAATTCCTGCAAAAGAAAGAAGAAGAATTTGACACAAACACCAGCACTGAACTCAATAACCAAGAAATGTCAGAAATGGTGGAGTTGAAGATCCAATTCGGAAACCAAAGATTTCCACTGTCAATTAACATTAATTCCACCATTTTTGACCTCAAACAACATCTCATGGACTCCACTAACGTCCTCCCTAAAGGCCAGCAGCTCATTCACAAAGGTATCCTTCAATCTTGATCATGGCTTAATCATTTTTTGAATTAATATTAATTTTGGTTTTTATTTGTAGGAGCTAAATTGGTTGATTCAAAAACATTGAGGGATTCGGGTATTATTAATGGGTCTAAAATCATGGTCACGGCTTCTGGTGGTAAATTTCAAGGGGTAATAATTTCTTCTTACTTCCCTTCTTTGGATGAAATTAGTTTTAGGGTTTAAATTATATAAACAACTGATCAGTTTGATGTTAATTATGGGATTCTTTTTGCTGTTTGATTTTCGGTTTTAATGAATTATTTAAAGAATCGATGATTTTGATGTTGATTTAAGGTATTTTATTAGGGTTTGGATTTTTTATAGAATTGATTGATTTGGTGTTGATTTTAGGGTAAATCACCTGTGGTACCGACTTATCAGAAGATTATGAATGAAAATCGATCCCTCAATTCTGCACCTATTAAAGATACCAACATACTTAAGTCGAGTGTTGATCGGTGGAAGATGTTTAGGGTAATTGGTCTTGCTAAGTCTAATTTGAAGGTAAAACCCATAATCTTTTATTGCAAGTTTCATAATGTGGCATAGTTGATGCAAGTTTTATAATGTGACATTTTGTGCAATTTTTGTTGAGTGTGGAAATTTCTGAAAATGAACATGTTATTCAGATTTTGCGTTTTAGTGTTGGAGCTATTTTCCTTGGTTTAGTCATGTCCCTGGATTATGGGAATGATTAATTTCAACCAATGGTAAACTATTGTTTATAATGCAATCCGATGTGGATTTTTGAAGGTATAGGAGGAGGAGAGAGAGTGAAGGAATTTTTAAGATTTAAACATGAAATCGTAAAAAAAAGGAGGGTTAGAGGTGTAGATGATTGTTATGATTCTCATGTGTCACCTTAGAAATCTTTTCTCATTGTAGAAGAGGGTGGGTTCTTACTTTAGAAATGGAGGGAAAAAAAAAATTATAAATGAACTATAATTGTTTATTTTATTTTTAATTATTGTTATTGCACATTGGTCAAGGGTAAGGATAAGGTTCTATCTATACCCATCCCTCCCTTCCCACGCTGCCGAAGTTGGGAGGCTCTTTGATGTTGCACTGTTGTAGTATCTGTTCATATAGTTCCTGGGATTATTTCCATGATAGTGTTCTTTTATGTATTCAATTAATGTATATTTCGTATATTGGAAAATCCAAAGGCTATACCTGATGAAGTATGGGAATGTAGATCGTCTTCAGGCTCTTGTCCTAAAGTGCTTGATCTCAGCAACAACTATATTCGTGACATACCCTCCAAAATTAGCTGCTTGACATCTATCAAGGTAAAGAACTAAAACTAAAGGGATTACTCTTCATTTTGTCTTGGTTATCAAAAGTTACATAAATTTACTCTGCTGCTAGAAAGTTGTTATAAACATTGTGCTTCTGTATTCTGGTTTTGTAGAAGTTGATTTTGAATGCAAATGATCTCTCAGATGATTCAATAAGTTGGGAAGGCCTAACTCAGTTGAAATATTTGAACTATCTTTCTTTGGATCAAAACCAGTAAGTTCTCTAGATATAATAAGACTTGCCTCCCATGTTCGGATTTTTAAAAAATATTTCCCGTATATAATTAATAGAAAGAAAAGATTGATTGCATGTCCCTGAGGTAATCAGTCACAACTGTTTTGAGGAGAGTTTTTGCAAGTTATCACCCTGATTTTGGGACTGGCGGGGGTTGAGAAATTATAGTAAAAGGAAATTTATGTGAAGAGCTCTTACTTTCAAAACAATTTCCATAAAGAGAACTCAGGTGTATAAACATGCATTGTAATTATGGCTCGTTCATCCCCCTCCCCCAAACCCCAATTCTGTATTCTGATTACTTGGTGAGAATTATCAGATGCAGTCCCATACTAATTAATTTTAAATGCTATATCTTTTGCAGGTTGACTTATCTACCTTCTTCCTTGGGTGAACTTACTTCCCTGGAGCAGCTGCACGTTGCAGGCAACAAACTGGAAAGGCTACCGGTGGAAATTGTTCTTTTGACTCGGCTAGAGATTTTTAAAGTTAACAACAACAGGTGTGTAGCTACTCTATCCAACATTTGGTAATTTCATTTTGATTTATGATATGCAACCCTAGATCATCAAATCCGTAGCCCAGCATGTCTAGGGTAAATCTGACAGCATGTGCTGTTATCTTAGCTTGAGATATATGGGGACTATGAAGTTAAAGTTCTTGATGTTAGTGTATATGCTGTAGACTTTAACTACTAGTAGTTTTTATGACTTAGTGACTGTAGCAGTTTGTGAGGCTTATTTGTGAGTTGGTTATTATCTTCCTTAATCTGGTTTGAAATTTGTAAAAATTTATGAGCTTAACATAATTTGCACATATTCTGTGTCAATTTGACATTTTTGCTTCAGTATCATATTGACTTGATTCTTTCCTTTTATTTGCCAGTCTAAGTGCGGTACCCTCTCATATAGGCGACTGCAATGCTTTAATTGAGGTATGTAATTCTGTCTTTGGATTAGTAGCAGAAAAAAAAAGTGCAAAGCAGGCCGTTAATAATAATTATAAAAAAATTATCCTTTCAGTACAAAAATTTAAATAAAACCACCTGAAGTCTTAATTGTTATTCAATCCATCACCTTTAGACGCTTTTCAACAGTCAAATGTCACATAAAGCATTAAAACTTTTTTTTTTTTTGTTTTATATCGATGTATATGAGCTTTCTTTCTTTTAATTTTTTATTTATTTTTTAAAACAGAAAGAGATTCAATGCTAAAAGTATGAATGTAAATTTTCCCATTGACAGCATGTTTTCACAGATGCTGTAGACAGCACTGAGAATTAAAAGGTGATATATGCTTTTATCCATCCCCAGGGTTGAGGAGTAGTTTACTGATTAAAGACGCCAGTTAAGGGTATATTTTGGCTTATAATAAATATTTTTTCTAGGGGTAAAAGGAAATTTTTGAGCTGGCAACAGAAATACAGATGCTGTATTACTTTCTTTGAACTCAAGTTGTAGCATCTTTAAGCTCTAATCAACGTATTTTATGATGTCAGTCAGTTTCCTTACTGAATTTGTTTTGTATGGCTAGGTCAATATATCCTTTAATCTTCTCAAAGAGTTACCTGAGACATTTGGCAAACTACAAAAGTTGCAGGTTGAATTCCATACATTATTTGTGCTATTTTACCATGTCTGTTGCTTCAATACATAACCAATTTTTTTCTGCATTAGGCATTGCATCTTCAGAATAATCCACTTAAATCACTGCCATCTACTCTATTGAAAAATTGTGTCAAGCTTTCAACTCTTGATGTAACAAACACACAAATAGCTGTTTATGAGCTTCGGCAGGTATGCTGCTTTCCTTCACTAGCTTGATTGATGCTTTATGTTTCAAGGATATGAATTTATTGAATCTATTTTCCAGATTGAGGGATGGGAAGATTTTGATAAAAGGAGAGTCTTGAAACATAATAAGAAATTGGAATGCCGCACTGTTGACTCTGCTGACTTTGACGAAGGTGCTGATAAAAATTGATCTCCAAACACAAATACATATTGTAAAGAATGCTGCTACCTGAGGATCATATTTTTCAGGACTTGCTGTGTCTTGTTGTTCTTTTGGTAGTAGGGTTAGAATTGAAATCTACAGAACCATATTCTCTATGTGGTGGTGGTCCTTGTGGATCATGGAGTTGCTGTAACATGGAAATATATACATCTTGTAATTGATAATTGTTATGTGTAGGACGGTAGGATTGCATACCTCCAGTGAGATTTTCCTGGTGCAAGCGAATCTGTTATAACCACACGTCCTTACCATTTATTCAATATGGATCCATCTTGTAATCCGAAATAATTCACAACTTTATTGTTTGTCATCTTTTGACACTTTCAACATTTGATCCTAGCTAAGTAGCTAGCTCAAGGATTTACAGACTTACAAATTTACACTTCAGCCAACTTTCACAATAAACAAATCACCATATTAAGATAACCCCTGAAAAGAGGGGGATAAAACTCTCAAACATGCTCGCATCACTCAGTTTACTAAGCAATAACCGCAAAGAATAATAATCCAAAATGTCTTGAATGAGACCATCTCAGTCCATCTATTTGCAGGATATTAAAATTACCCCCCACACAAAAAGGAAAAAAAAAGTTACCCCTAAATTAAGTAAATATTACGTGTCTTACAATGAAGTATTGTGTGACCTTCACATTATGACTTTGCCTAAATATTATGCATACACAATGCCAATACAGAAAGAAGCTCATAAATTCATGTAACTGAAGTTAGGCTCTATATAACATGTGGATGTGCATGAACAAATATCCAGTACATAAACGCTACAGAAGAAAATGTTCACTCCGAATCAAGACTTGTGCTGCAAAACCTCATAGAGGCTAAGAGATACAACGCAGATATTATGGCCTTGAGAATGTATAAAGATGATGGGGACGTCATTAGCGTAATTATAGCAAAGCTCATCTGAAGTATACAGAGACCAGTGGGATGTCAATATCATTATCATCGTCATCCTCACAAGCCACAACAACATCCAAGTGGCGGCGATAAGGAGGAATTTCTACCTTCGCTACTTCTGTTGCAAGGTCCACAATTTTCTTGTCCATCCTTTCTCTGTGTCGAGGGAACATACTATTGAAAAGCAAGCAACTTCCACAAGAGATACTGTAAGCATTCAGCTCCTTGTCCTTAAGCCACTGTATAAGTTCATTGAGGGTAGGGTTGCCCTTCAAGACCCATCGGTCCCAAACAGTCCAGCTCATGTCTCGATGCTTGAAAACCTTTGGAGGGACTGGTTCAGCCATGGAAAACAGAGGCAATGCCAGATTAGCGAATGTATTTCGGTAGTCCTCCAGCTTATGCCCTCCATCCAAAGCCTTGTACAGCTCCAGGCACACCAAACCAGTGGCCATAGCGGTTGAGGTTGCAATAGCAGGAATGATCCTTCCAGCAATAAACTTGGCCTTCAATTTGTCGACTTCAGGAATGCTGTAGTTCCTTGCCCTCATATTGGCAAGAGCAGCTATGAGGTCCATATGGTAGTTTGTGTCATCATCCTGCATCAGTGTTGGAAAAAATAAGAGTGACTCAGTAAGTGAGTTAAGTCCCAGTCAAGGATAATGAAAAAAACTAACAAATTCCATACTCTCTAGTTTCTCTTTATCCAGTAAAATGGGGCGGGGTATGCCAGACCAGAAATGCAAAAATAAGAGATGAAAACAGACTGATAAGGTCAAATGCAGAACACCCACCCCACTGCAATCACGTCTTCCTTATGGTTAATTAATTTTATACTTCGGGTACCACAACTGAATTTTATGTAGGACTATATACAATGACATGGGAGTACAGAAAATAGCCTCTTTTTATTAGGTCATCATACCTTAATCCCTAAAACCAACATTCAATCCAACAGTCACTAGTTATGCAATCATCAAATATAAAATGAATATTTACCTTCTCAAACTGGATTGGCTTCATCCTGAAATCCGGCAGTAAATTGCTGCGAATGTGCTCCAACTTACTAATAAGTTCATCAATGACCGCTCCATCGTCTATAGAAGAAGAAGAAAGGCTAGTAGCCTTCTCATCTGTAACAATCTTGGCATCTTTTTTTGGCTGAAAGTCGGGGACCTTGACGTTATCAACAGCCTCTGCCAATTTCTTGGGATGTTTTGCCCAATCAGGGATGGGGATACCAAATGTTTCGGCTCGTAATATAGACGCAGACATAATAAAATGCAGATGTGAAGGATCAGAAGATGAAAATTGCAAGGGACGAGGAAATCTCTTTGGGGCTGACCAGAATGGAGCTCCTGTACTGGTTGCAGCATCTTCAGGGAATGTATACGTCAGCTGCTTCACACGGCTGGTATAGTAGTCTTCAAACCTGTTTACAAAAACCAAGTGTTAGAGATGATGCATAAACTATACACACAGCATTTAATTAGCAAGTAATACATACTTAAGCCTAGCCCAGGCAACACAGTCCTCAAATGTCTTGCATCTTTCCTTTTCAAGGCATTCAAGAACACGTTCCAAAGTGTCCCTAGCCTGAGCATCACCAGCATTCCTCATAGATGAAGTGTATTCACTAGGGTTTGAAAGATATGCATTCACTTCAGCTGGAGTTTTCTCAAGTAGTCCCTCAAATTCAGAGCGAGCCCAGGTCAGACAATGGTCAATGTTGTGTGGAAAAGAATGCACTGTGCACATAGGTGCTTGCTTCTCAGGTGGATCTCGTGAAGCGCCATAATTTTCAGTGAGATGAGGAATGACCATCTGTGTGTTGCACTTGGCACCCAAAGTTCCTGATTCAAGGAGAGGCTTCTGGAAATACAAGCATCTCTGATCTACGTACAGTCTAGCATTCACATTGTCCAGTGCATTGACTACAACACTTAAATTTTCCCAAAAAGTGTCATCAAATACATTTTCAGTTTCAGAACCAACACGATTCTGCAAGGCTTCAACATGGAACTGTGGATTAATTGCTATGGCGGCAGCAGCAGCAACAGTGGACTTAGCCTGCCCAATGTTCCAATCACGGAACAAAAATTGCCTACTGAGATTACTTTTCTCAATAACATCATCATCAGTAACTGTAAGCTTCCCTTGGCTACCACAAGAAACACCCATCAAAGCCAAATTCTTCAAGAATTCACACCCAAGAGCACCAGATCCAACAACAAATGTTTTAGCATCTTCTAGCTTCTTCTGGAGTTTCCATCCAAAAACAGAAATTTGACCATCATAGCGACAATTTCTTGGAGCAAAATCAGAGAGATCCAAGGGCTCAGTAGGAAGTGACTCTACTGAATCAAAGTAGAAGAACTACAAAGGAAAAAAAAAAACACATTTATATAAAATAAATACATAAAGTTACAACAAATCGAAAATACAAATTTAGCAAAAAAAGATTGGGACCAGTAATAACCTGAAAAAGAGGATGGAACTTTCCAGAGCAAGCCTTCATGACTTCCTGTCCAACAATACCACCAAACATAGCAGCCATAGGATTCAGTACAGCCCTAGCCCCAAAAGCAAAGTGGCGTAGAAGTTTAGGGTTGATGTCTTCTAGCCTGCCATCACCTAAGCCCTCATTAATTTTACTAGCTAAGGATATTAACTTTTGTGCATCATCTTCAGAACCAGGACTAGGAAATCGCCCTAGCTCACACACAAGTTTGTCTAAAGCTTGAAATGCCAAATGCAGCAGAGGTGGGCGATCAAACTTTGAAAAATCACTCAAAAGAAAGTCACCCGGATCACTAAGTGCTTCTCTCAAAGGCTTAAAATGCAGAAGCTTTGGCTGTTTGACTTGTGTCACAATCCCTCCCTTCTGGTACACGCCGTAATTTGTGGTGTCCTCCTCAAGAGTGAATGAATAGGGCCTTGCATTTTTAATCTTTCTTGGCTTTCCATCATTTAGTTCAGGCATCCCGTGAATTTCAGAGAACACAACAAGATCCCCATCCTGAAACTCCAGTCTTTCATCATCCACACATGATACAAGGGCAGCATTGTCATTGCTGATTGAAGCAATTATTCCAGTGTGTGGTTCCTCACCATCCACATCAACAACAGTAAACTCAGGTCCAAAGTCGCAAAACACATTGCCAAAAAGTCCCCTTACTTCAGCTTTAATGAAAGCAATAGAGGGTTGATGACTGTGGCAGTAATCATTGAACTCGATAGCTTTGTCCAAACTGATATCAGTAAATATAACAGCCTAAAGAAAAGAAAAATAGACCAAGCTCATTATACTATAGCAAGAACATGAAACCGTAAATAGCCACTTTATGTTCTAAAGATTTCAAACATAATATCGACCAACAAAAATCATCCACAGGCAAAGGACTTGTATCTAGTAAATATATCTGATAGAGCTATAGAAGTCAGCATTCCCGATTTTTTCCACATTTCATCAAGTCATACAAAGAATATTTATATTCTATCTTTTTTCCTCAACAGTAGTTCGATACATATATGGACGACATAGGTATGGCAGTACCTGGAAGTCAGAAAGCTGTTCCTTTGTCAGTTTAGTTGTCAAAGTAGTAACAAGCACTGCATTATTCAGTTCTTGCAACTTTTGCACACTAACAAGTGCTCTATTTTTCCCAACATCATCTTCAGAGAAAAGAAAATTGCCGGATAAATCCCATAGCTCCACTGTTCCTTCATCATGCAAGGTGACAGACTTGACACCAGCAAGGATAAGATTCTTTGCTGTAAATTTTTTTTTTTTTTCAAAAAAAAGGAGAAAGGAAAGAAACAAATTTAAATTGTCAAGATCAAGAAAGTCTCAAGCCAGAATTGGAGGATTACAAACACAAGACAAGAAGACTACATGATCCTAGGTCCTCAGATCATGGGTAATATCATGTATAGTGATATGTTGACATTCACATCATTATAGAGTTCTTGAGCTACCAAATGGCAGCTAGTCAATCTCAAGCAAGAGTCAGAAGACCAACTCGTATATATTCTATGTGGGATTATCAAAGCAGTAATACTCCGTTAAACACCTAAAAGGTAACATTTGAAACTAACACCACAATGCTAAATCTGTAGACCATGTCAAGAATGAGAACCAGAACAGGTATGGGAGGAAGAAGTTATAAGTTTCTAGAAAAGTACTAAGCTGATCCCTTGTCTAGGATAAATATTACAAATCCACAAACCTTTCAACTTACAATCTAGTTACATAAATATTCGAAATCATGTGATATTATCAGGTATTTTCACAAATGGAAGACAACAAAATGTGACATGGAGTAAACAACGCAGAACCAGAGCTTGTCAATTACCGATTCCCAAGAGATAAATATAGGATCTCACTACAAAGCATACATGGAAGATGGACATTGAGAATCTATGACTACTTATTTGAAATCACATAACCACAGAAAAAAAATCAACAAATACTCAGTTCAATTTTCAATACTATTACCAGAAAACATTACAATTCAGAAATATGCAGCACTTTCTCAGGTATAATCATTTTATTTACTCCCTATTCCCTAACCTGTCTAGCTCAACAATAGCATTTATCCAATATAGCTCCATATTTTCATTATAAAAGATAAATCAATGATTAAGAGCTAACACAATTTCAAAAACCACCAAAATCAACTATTAGCAATATAATCACAATCAAACTAATATAAACATCATAACAACGAAAACATAGCAAATATAATTGTACCGATTTCAGCTCCAAGGCCTTGCATCCCCGAGACAAGAACATTGGAGGCAAAAAGGCGCCTCATAGTCTCACGCCCATACACAGCCAGCTGCCTACTATGCAGATCCTCATCAATTTCCTGCGGATTACCATCGCCTATAGCCATGGTGATCGTAACTTCGGTGTCGTTGTTCTCACCTGTAAACCTACTACCAGAATTCGAGTTATTCGATGTCGTATCAACGGAATTCGAAGCGGAGGCGGATCCTTCGATGCGAGACTTTTTAAAAGACGAAGAAGAAGAAGTTGTTGTACCGTCAACTACCTCACCTTCACCAGCAGCTCTCTTCCTTGGAAGCATATAGAGCAAACAACTGGTCAAAAATCGCCGTCCACGAACCATCGGAAAAGTCAACAAAAACAATATTAATTCCTCAGATATGACGACGACGATTTAGCTCTACTATAATAGTTTCCGATGATCGATGCCAAAATTAGAAACCCTAACCCTAATCTACACCAAAAAACCTCATTTCTGAGGATTTTATCAACAGTTTAGATTCGATACGATTCGATTCGAAATCAAACAAAACAAGCAATCAAAAGATGAAATTATACGAAAATCAAAGAAAAAGCGAAGAACAACATACCTATATCTCTGAGAATGCCGACGAAGGAAGAATCGAATCGAAGGTTAGAGAGAGAAATTGAAGAGGAGAGAGAACACGGATGTTGTTTATTCTGTTTATATTGGTAGCTGAAGTACTGAAGAAGAAGTTAGATAGAGAAGAAGAGTGAGTGTAATGGGAAAAGGGTAAAATGGGCAATTAACAAAATTAGGGTTTAAGAGGGAAAATAACAGACAAATGAAACCCCATTTTCAGAGGGCCTCACTCCATTTTCTCTCTCCTTTGGTGATGATGATGTTGGTGTTGCAGGAGAGAGAAAATGAGCGTGTTTGGTACGAAGATGCGAGACGACAGAAGTTTCCTGGATAAAGTCAGCTTTTCCAGATTGTTTCAAAGCGACGTCGTTTTCTATCAACTTTCCTTTTCCTTTGTTTTCTATTTCGGGTATCTGTGGTACTGGGCTGGGTTTGATTTGTACAAGGCCCAATATGGAAATTTACTTAAGTTTTGTACACTGTATTTCATATCAAAATTATTGAAATGGATAATTACAGTAATGTACTCCGTGTACTTGTTTTCCTTAAAGTTTGATTTTGATCTAGTATTAGTCAACATTCAATTTTAAAGTAATTAAAAATTAAACTTTTGATATATGAAAAGTCAATTTTTTTTTTTTTTTAATATGAGTCTGAAGTCACGGTGAGATGAATATAAGTTACGAACTATTAACTTATTATACCCTTCATATAAGTTTTTAAACATGTACTGCATAAATTTTTGAAAATTTCATATAAGCTATTGGATATACATTAGTTTATGAAATTATAGATTGCGTGGTTGAACTCACGATGAAACATACTCACCCAATACTTTGCATAGAAAGAAACACCAAGCGCCACGCCATATAAAAAAATACAGAGTTAATGTTATTATGTGATTAGCAAAGCAACTCAACATGTAAACGCTAATCACGGATAAGTTTAAATTTGGGATGTATTCTAGATGAAGTTAAGTCTAGTCTATCAAGTAAGAGGTAACATTGGATAATTTTCCAGGTAATTTATAGCATCGTCCATAAAAATGTCTCATGAGTCATGATCCTTAAAATAATACTTCCTATCATGGCTTAAACGAAATAGGCCACAACACTAGATTAACAAAATGGGTCGAGCTGGGTTAAATAAGATGATAAGAGCATTATGCAATTTAAATGTACCAAGAAAAAAGTTCTTACATTTCCATAGTTAATTAATAGACAAGAGGAGTAATTAAAAGTTGAATGAAACATGTTTGTTGGTAAACTCACATGGGAAGGTTTAACCACTTTTAAGTGTCTATAATAAAACCATAATAACGGAAAGTTTAATACAAACTAGAACGTGACAATGTGGATTAAGCAGCAAATGCCAAATTTATCGCAGACACATCCATCGTTGAACTACAATCTTCCATGTGTTCCTCAATTTCGATGCTACTTTTTTTTTAACATTTCTCTTGGTAAATAGAAAAGTCAATTCAATGATTACATCACAGTATCACATGACACAAACCAATATTTGGGTTGTGCCACTATAAGTCTGAAATCAGCAGTTAAAATAAGTAAAATTAAGCTGAAATTAGTATGCGAACGAGGGTGGTAATCTGCATTCAAGTCTGTAACGCAAGGTTGCAGTCATGCGCGACAACTTTAGCTAATCAGTAGAGTGTTAGGGAGAGCTCAACTGCTCAAGGACTTAAGGAGGTACATACAGCAACACGGTAGGTTAAGTTAAACAGCCAAATGCGGCCTGTAAAATAACAAGCCTGGAAAAAGACCGGTAAATTCCATTTTGCAGTATAAATTTGATGAACTCAGCAAACTATAAGGTCTACTGAACAAAATATGGTAATAACAAACATTCTGCCCTAGGTCCAAACAAACATGTCGTGATAGTGGGACTCAAAAATTGGTGCAAAGACAAGGGAACTTCACCAACCCACCTTTCCTGGTTTACCTCAGGAGAGATAGGGGTGGTCGAAAAGGCGAAAAGGTCCCTATCAGCAAAAGAATTAATGAAAGAATACTTTAATTAAACCATAAAACTCTTTGGGGACCCTTGCGTTTGCCACAAAACAAGCATAAAAGGGAATCAGAGCCAAAAGTCACATTGGTCATCCCAACATGCAGGGGTCATCAAGGTACACAATTCCTTTTTTTTTTTTCCTCTTTCCATACTCTTATATACTTCGTATCTTATATGAGAAAAACAGAATCAGCAACCATAAAAAAAACAACTGGCACAAACGAAGAAATGATGTGATATCTCAGCATCATGTTCAAATTATATGTGTAACACGAGCGATGATGATGCTATCCACAAGATAACTATGTCCATTTTTCACTGACAGCAGACTGTTATAAAGTGGAGTGGCCAGAACAAAACTATAATTTTCATTCACCATTGAGGAATACAAACTTGCATTACATCCATGAGGGGATGTAACAAGGCAAACAGGCACATTTTTACATGAAAATTTGCAAATCAGATATAGAAACTAAATTATCATGGTAGATTGTACTTTCACCTGTGGTTTATGGTACTAATGTTGTTAGGCCGCAGCAGTATAGAGAGTATTTCAGAAAATTGAGGTCGCTTTGAAGGGCAATTGTTCCAGCACTTCATCATGAGAGATTTCAAGACTTGAGGGCATTCTTTAGGAATTTCAGGTCTAAGGCCACAAGCAGCAATTCCAACAGCTGCCTGGACAGGTGAGTATGCAGAGTAGGCAGCCTCACCAGTCACCATTTCCCAAATTATCATTCCAAAACTGTATACGTTACTCATCCATGTCTCACTAACGCTTTCAGGATCAGCTGCAATGATCTTAACAAAAAACACATGAACATCCAAATCAGAGTCATAGACTAGCACAAAGTTCAACAAAGTCAAGTGATGCCCAAATAAGCATAAAAAATTCGTTCAACTGGGATAATAATACAACCAAACCAAACTGGAAAAGAACAGCAAAACTGGTGGAAGATAGATTCAGTAGTCAATTAGTCATCGTACCCCCCCCCCACCTCTCACTAAAAATAAAAAATAAAAAAATAAAAAAAGAACCAAACAACCTAAGTAGTTTATCATAATTTCACTAGAAAAGGGGAATAAGCTCTTTCTCATCAACAAGGACAACAACCATCAAAGTAGAAAAATGTGGTGCTACTGCATAATTACACTAGGAAAATTGTGTTTTACCAAGGCAGATAAAGGTTAACAAGCATTAAAGCACTATAATGCAGAACAATTATAAAGACATGTTCTGCATGCTCATAACGTAATGATACTTGAAAAGACATAAAGCCATCCTTTAACAAAAAAAGACAGATGCTACTTACAATGACTCAATAAATCAATTCCACCAGTCATTCACACGTTGAGAGCCTTAATTAGATATACAGTAAATGGACAAGAAATTTCAAAGAATTTAAGAAAAAGTTTGGATAATAGAAGCTCATAGTTGATCTTATAGTGTATAATATTTACTAGAAAAGCAAACAAAAGCACTTATAATTTCATTCACTGCCCGCCTGCCCGGTGGCTGAGGTGGCAAAGCATATTATTTATCCGAATGCATAATTACCAAAGGCTTCAACAAATCAGTAATTATAATCAGCACACGATGACTATAATCATCATGAACACAATTAATGGGTGAGTTTCTAATTTAAATAGGAATTGAGTGAAAAAAGATTTCACCTGGAACTTTCCATTGATTTAATCATATACTATGCGCAAAAGCATAAAGTGATGATGGACCGAAATTCACAAATCATACAGAAAAGTCACTAAAAAACAAAAGGACTTGTTATGCTTCCTTATAAGGCTTTAGAACAAAATCCACCAATACATATGCTTAATTACTACAAAGAGAAACCAATAATAGTTGTGGTCACGGGAAATGGTGGGTTTCAGCATTCATATATGACACCAACTTATCAATTGCAGTGCAGTAAACACCACAAAGTATTTATGACCTTGGTTAAAATTAACAGCTTATCTAAAAACAATAAGTTGGAATAACACACATTTGTTAACAAAGCTAAATGACATAAACTCCATAACATATGCTGGCATTGAGAAAGTACCTCAGGAGCAAGCCACCGGTAACCATCAGTCTCATATTCCATGGCCTCACCAATGCTCTTGCAAGCAGTGACTATTCCCACATCCCCTAAATAAGCACTGCCCTGGCGGTCCAATAAGATTCTTTGGGAATTCAGGTCCCGGTATGCAACACCGTGATCATTCATAAACTTTAAACCTTCTGCAACATCAGCAGCAATCCTCATTATATCCTTGATTTGAAGCTTCTTGTGCTTCAACATTAAGTCATGAATTGATCCCCCTTCCATAAATCTAGTAACAACACAAAGCCCATGATTCTCGTCTACACATACACCATAAAAAGGCACAACATTCTTATGCCCACAAGTCATAAGCTCTAATAAATTTTTCCTGAGCTCAAAGTCATATGCATTCCCCTTATCACATCCTTTTAGTTTTTCAATAGCAACCTTCTTACCCTTATAAACCCCCTTAAAAGAGCTCGTTCCAATTTGATCACCAAACTCAACACTCTCCGTATTCAACAACCATTTCCCAATCTCATCCCCACCTGCCCTCACAGTCTGCCATTCATCAACCGAAACCACAATGGAAGAAGTCGACAAAGGCAGTGAAAGCTCAATACTCTCACTCGAACACTCAACACTATTCCTATAACTATGATCCCCAAACTCCTCCTCTATCTCCCCAAAATCCCTCCCTCTACCATTCTCGTCCTGACACCCACAAAGCCCAAATGGGAGCTTCCTATTACTAATTTTTGGCTTCTTAGAAGCCGCCTTCAACGCATTCTCAATACGAGTCTTAAAACTCTTCTCCTGCCCACTCTGCACTAAAACATGAAGTATTCCTAAAGTAGAACTCTTCCTCTCAAAGATCTGTATCTTCTTACAACACATTGAACCATTCTCTAACGCTCCCGACACCGCCGGCCACGAGATCGATGAATTACAAGCAAATGTAATCTTATAAACAACCCCTTGAACTTCATTCTCAGAAATTTCTTGAATTATTACAGCAGGTTGCTCCTCACTACATGCTTGTTCAATCAATCGTATATGAACAAACACATCTTTCATATCAAACCCAGCTTGAGCATAACTGTTTTAATCATCTCCATTTAATAAAAAACTTCCTACAATTTCTCAAAAACAAAACAACAAAAATTCACATCAAATTTAGCAACAAACACGAACTATTACCTCAATGGCATTGAATCATAATGCTTGCGAATATTATAAACGAGTTTTTCAGGCAGTTGGCTGCCCGGATAAAGCTGAGTAAGACTACGAACAACACTGCCCCAAACAATCTTACGGTGACCGTCGATTTTGGAAGGAGGTGGGTCACGTGCTGAGTCAAGATTCAGTGAGTTCTTCAACGAGGCGATCGCTTCAGAAACGTTTCGACTCAGTCGTTGAAATCGCTTTTGCATCGCCGACGAAGAAGGGTCTTTCGCCGCCGTAGAAGCTTCTGGAGAGCCCTCCGATCTGTCACTGGACCGCATTAACACTTGCTCAACGGTGTCCTCTTCTGTGCTCGTTCTACTCGACCAGCACTCCAACGCCGCCGCCATTTCTCTCTCCTCTTGCCGGAAAATGTTGCCGGAGTTTTCGAGAGAAGTTTAGGCACTCTTTTTCTGAAGTTATTTTGAAGTTTGACGTTTGTTTTTAGTTTTTTGAGCTGCAAATCTTCAGACAGTGGGAAGAGGAGCAGGGGAAGGAGAGAGAGTGTGAGAAGAAAGAGTGTGACTTTATTTTTATTTTTTTTGAATTAAAAAATTAATGAAGTATTTGTATTTGGAGCATTAACAAGAGAGCTGAGGAAAGGGATTATGGTCCTGATGATACGGAGTACTGATAAATAATGTGATGAAGTTGTGAATTTATTGATGGCGAAGTTGGCGATTATATTCATGGGATGCTGATGGGGTCTATTGGACCTTTGTTAATTGTTACGGAGTATGTGCTTTGTTTTGTTTGCGTTAAGCATCATGACATTCATGAGCAACTTGTAGAAGTGGGACGTATTACGTTTGATACAGATTATATCTTTATCTTGAAATTGATTAAATTGAATCGAAATGAAAAAGGTAAAGTTTTGGATGAGACGGACTCGCCGTGAGTCCACCATCTTCATTTTCCGGTTCTCCTTCTTCCCCTTTCTCTCTCCTCTCGCCCATCAATGGCGGCCAGATCCTCCACCAATCTTCACCTCCTCTCTCGCACCTCCAGCCAATTATATACTCCGTATTGATGGTTGATGATGCCTAAAGCAGGGAATATAAATTTTTATTTAATCTTTACAGGCTTATAAGTTATCTCCAAGACCGAAAAAATTTATGTTTTGTAGCCCACCAACAGTTCGAAAAATTGCCCCAGTGAGCTAATTGTTATTTTCTCTTAATCTTATCAATGAAGAACATTGTCCCAACTCATTTGGGATAGAACCCGACAAATTGTTGGATAATAGCAGCAATTTGTTGATAAACGAGAGCAACAATTTCACGACTCTTGAATCAAATGAGATGAACATGCTTGTGATTTTGCAGCTTGTTTTTAGTTTTGTCCGAAACTGTATGTCTTATTTAAATTTCAGATATTGATTTTAATGTAAGATGTTAAGATATTAAGCTTGTTAATATTGTTTGGTATTAGATTATTATTGTTTGGTATTAGATTATTAGTGTTTGGCATTAGATTATTATTTTTTGGCATTAGATTATTATTGTTAGGTATTAGATTATTATTGTCAGATATTAGAATATCATTGTCAGACATATTGGACTCACGGTGAGTTCGATCTCACACAAAACCTTTTCAATGAAAAATTAATAATCGAATAGATAAGTAAAAAATTAGGGTCAACAATAATTTTGCTAAAATTATTTCAATGTATTGAATTTAACAAAGATTTATCTAACCATAAGGATATCGCGTCATACTCTATTTCATCTTTAGTGTCATGCATATAATTAATAAGCGTGTTGCTAAATTGAGTAAACAAAAGTCAATTAAAGAGGGGTCTAACTCTAAAGACATGAGAATGGTGCACCAAAATGTACAGTTTGTGCATGAATTTTCATGTGGCTAGGTGGGTATGACACATGACTAGCCAATTAGGTACGTGTTTATTTAACAAACTAAAGCTTTACTTGGTACCCGGTAAAGTTTTAAGACATGAAACAATATACCTAGTGACACGTTTTGTGCATTGATTGATATAAGGTATTTTATTTCATATACGAATAAGAACATGTGTGCCTCATTTTTATCACTCAGACACTCTGACTCATATAGTTTGTCAATTTCATTTTCTTACTTCGAGGTTAGATAATATGCTCACTTTGGGGGAGATGATCATGGGTAGTCCGACCCGATTTTGGGTAGAATTTTCGAGCCCGATCCGACTCAATTTTTTCAAATTTTTTTTGGCGAGTTTGAGCCTCCATTTTTTACGATTTTAGTTATTTTTTGGCCTAGTTCGAAAAGCCCGCTAGGCCTGAGGGGCAAGCTTTTTTGCCTAAAGCTTGGCCCGACCCGACCAAGTGGGTTGTTTTTTTGGCCCGACCCGCCCTTAATTTGATCACCTCTAGAAAATGGGGGTAGGCATACTAATACCCTATAAACGAACATGGTATTATTAATAAATTTTCAAATTCTGGTGTCAAACTATGCTATACTCGAGCTCGAATTTGAAAAATAGTAAGGATGAGGCAAGTTTCAACAACCAAAATTTTAATAAATTAAGATCAAACTGTCAAGTCGAGAATTCGAGAAGGCCAACCTTTTTTATTTGTATGAAGATTGGCACCTCCATTCGTTTTTTGGAAGGAAAAAAAATCCTCATGGGAGTCTTGCCACGAAGTGATGAACCAAAAAAAAACCTTGTGGTTCTTTTAAAAAAAAAAAAAAAAAACACACATTGATGGTAGTTAAAAGAAAAAGGGCAAAGCTACTATACCTTGTATTAACAGCAACGCAACGGTCTGAAATTTCGTTCATTTCCCAGTGTTGGAACTCATATAAGAGAATAGATCACCATCTTTAAGACTTTACACCATCAATCGAACCCCAATTGGTCCGAAATTGATCGAATTCATGTTAAACCCTTATTTATCGCTAGCTTTTCTTGAAAGCAATCACCACCTTCATCTGCAATCAATCTCGACCTCCATCGTCGATTCCCAAGATCTTCGTGCTGCAATTTCACTCTTCTTTCTGTAAAATTCGACATTCGATAGAATTTGAAGCGTCGCAAATTAGGAATTTCATCAATTAGTTCAAAATCAGAGCTTTTTTGGCGCCTCATTTGACACAAAATTGATTGAATCAGATTACAATTATGATGAATTGCAGTAGCGAAGAAGATGAAGCTGAAGTTAACGAGGTATACAATTTTTGCATTTTTTTTAGTTGATTATGTTTAATTTTGAAGAGAAATTACGCTAATTAAACCTAATTTTTGTTATCTGTATTTTCATGTGGTATATAAAGTTAGAGCGTTTTGATGATTTTACGCTTGCTTCTTCTTGGGAAAGGTACTTGCTTCTATAATGTTGTCTGATCATATTGTAATGATAGTGTCCTGTAATTTGAAATATGATGAACAATGTATACTTATGTGATAAGTTTGAACTCTCTTTATCAGGTTTATTTCAGAAATCGAAGCCGTGTGTCGGCGTTGGATGGCTGATGGCCCTAGGAACTTGTTGGTATGCTTGTATTTGAGATGATAAAGAATCTTTTAGGATTATTGACATATATGACAATGATTGATTATTATAGTTGAAGCAATGTGTTTTTCAATGTTGCTTACTAGTCACATTTTAATTGTTCTAGAATGAGTTCTTAGTAAATGATTTTCGTAACCTTGTTATGTTTGTTGTATACTCTATGTCTCTATCTGAATCGCTGGCTGTTCGATCTCACAGGAGAAGGGTGCTGTGCTTGTAGGAACTTCTAATGAACTGTATAAGACCAATTGTGAGCTGAAATATGATAAGAAAAGCTACTGTATGGAGTATTACTTTAAAGAGAAGCGTAAAGGTATACTGGTGAATTGGTTCCACTGTATATTTAGTTTCTGATTGTTCCTTAGTTCCTCTTACTTAGTTTCTTTGTCGAGCTCTTACTTTGAACAGGCAAAGTCACAAACTGGGACTCTACTTGGCACCATTTGCAGCTGGCATTTGGAGTAACCGAGTTTTTGGTAAGATTTGCACTTGGAAGACCAGCTTTGTAAGCAAATAAATTCAATTTTTTTACATTTGGTTGAGGTTTTTTGAGCAGATAATTGCACCACAAAGTGCTAGCGGTGTAGTATTGAACTCCCCTGAGGCCAGCAAGCTTCTCAGTGCTGTTGCAATTGCTATGTCCAACTGTTGCAGGTACGAGTTGAGCTTGTCATGAAAATATGTTCAAATTCTACTCAATTGCACAATAAGTTCAAATTCTTAATCAACTCACTTTAATATCAGGTGTTGTTATCTTGTACTTCATAATTGTGTTCCTTTGCCGGTGCCTCTTCTGCTTACCTTATTTACGAGAATATTCTTGTATGTTATTTTGATATACCTTATATTGATTTGTAAGTCTCCGTACTCCATAATTCAGTCTATGGCCAGCCTTTGTCCCTGTTCACGACCCTTCTCGAAAAGCGCATATCGGTATTCAAAATATGGGAACTGTGTTCACAAGAAGGTTTGAATCAGACTGCATCAAGAGTCAGGTTCCTGTGAAGCTCATGCATTTGGAAGGGTTGTATGAGCTGTTTGTGTCCAAATTTGTGAGTTCCTAATCTAGTGTATGGTTTACTGGAGATTATTTTCACCTTATTTGCATGCAATTTTCAAAATGATATCAATACTTTTACTAACATATTTTAATTGCAAGGCCTTCTCAACACTGGACTTCACAATGTGCAAAGTTCAATTTACAATGAAGCTCACCTACAGAACCCTTCCGTGTGATGATGATGATGATGATTATATTCGTGAAGCTGAAGCTGAGGACTCAGAATCTAGTGCTGGTGCCAAGGGTGAACTGTTTCAAAGATTACAATGGGATGATGATTGCCCTTGGAGTGAATGGTACTCAGCTGAAGATCCGGTAAAAGGTACTTTATTTTTATATTTCTGATTTCTACTGTGGTACACAGCAAAATAAGGAATGTTTCCATGCTAGTGTGAATGGGTCAGAGAAATTAGAAAACCTTGTGGGCTCCTTATGTTTATGAGTACTCTTAATTTTCTCAGTGAAGTTATTGATATCTGATTGTTGGGTTTGAGCGAAGGTCTCAAACTTTCAAGCTTTGACAGCTTTGACGTATACGTGTTTTGATGTATTGAATGATTTGATTAAAGGTTTGAATATGAGTGTGATGGGATGATTTTTATGTTACAAATAAACATAGCTGATAATTCCAAGATCTGCTTTTCAATTAGGTATTGAAATATTGAACAGTTTTGACTTCCAAAGCTATGTATCATAACTGGCAGTTGTCTTGATGAACTTTAATTTATGCAGGATTTGAGTTGGTGACGATATGGTCAGATAGGACAATTGAGAGCTCCCTTGAGATGGCTGAAATCGAAAATTCTTCACCTCATGAAGCTAAAATGTGGCATTTACTTCCAATTATTTTGGACATTTCGTAAGTATTATATTAAAGGATTAAATCTTTTTGCTTTCGATTTTTATAATTTTTCTGATATAAGTGTTAATGCCTTGTCATGCTAACTTTGTGGCTTCTGCAAGTTAGAATCATGATTGCTTCCCATCTTTCTACTCACTCTTTTAGAATCCCGGGGGGGGGGGGGGATGGAGGTGTTCAATCTCATATATTTAGTCCTAGTAATTCTTTATGGGGACTTGGTGATTTAAATGTGTAGTTATTTCATTATGTGAGCACATGAGATATCTGACTTTGAAATGGCCCTGTTGCTGTTGCCCATTAAACTGTAAGGAGTTCTAGACACATAGGAGGATGATACCTCCTAAAATTGAGTCAATCCTGTCAGTGTTGACACATTATATTTCTGTAAATGTTTCTTCTGCCTCCTGTTGTTCTATTATAATGTAACAGCATCATGATTTTCTTTATTCACTCAGAAATGAAGGTCAGAAAGTCAAAGCAGTTGGATTTGCTTCACAACTATCTCTCTTGGTTGTTGCCATGGAGATGTCATTTGAGGCTCAATTTTTGGAAGATTTTGTGTCAGGTTTGAAAGGTTTCAGTGTATGTCTTGTCTTTCCTATTTGCTGCAATTACTTTTTAGTAGCTTGAGGCACAGTAATGTGTTTGTATGATTTTCCTTGTTTAGCATTGAACTTTTTTTTTTTTTGAATTCTGGCAGTGGATTCCCGTGCAGAAAAACTGAGGTCTTCAGCATCCATTCCTCCACCAACTGTTGTTGCTCGTGTACTCAAAGAGCTGTTTCATGAGGGTACTCATCTTCATTCTTCTTTTCTCTTTCCAAGTCTATCCAAGCAGTCTTTTGGAGCTAATGTTTGTTGGGCTGCTGCACAGCCTTCACTATTTTTTTTTGGTCATGCTTTCGCTTTCTCTTTGATGATTATTTGCTAAAATGTTTTTTGATCAGTAAGTAAAGGATTTTATTACTCATCAAAGCTTATACAAACTGAGTCCCAAAGGGAAGACTTAAGGCAGCAAGCCTAACAAGAACTATACAATCACAAAAAAGAACCCTATACAAGTATAGAAATACAACATTTACAAACTATTTATCCACTCTATTTGCTGTACAGTTGTCTTCAAATTAAGAGTGTCCTGTAATCTACACTTTAACTCGAACTTGATGGTTTTCACCACCCCTGAGACACAAAGAATCTTCTTATCCCAGAACTCTATGTTCCTGACTCTCCAGATTTGGTATATCACTGCCGAAATACAAGTATACAGGACTCTTCTGCAGAAAACAGGTCTTATTCAGCAGTCTGCCTGATAATGTTGCTCAGGCTAAGAGCGTCTGGTCCAACACCAATTTACTCCTTAATCTCCTTCCACAGATCCTTGCTGTATTTACATTCAAAGAACAGGTGTTTATGTGTTTCTTCTGAATTACCACACAGCAGACACTCTTTATCAAGATTCTGATCCAGAGTGTGCAGTCTGTCCCTTGTCTTTAGTCTCCCTTGTATTGCAAGCCATGTTATAAATTGATGCTTGGGAAGTGATTTCCTTTCCCAAACCAATTTATCCCATCTGAATTTTCTTTTTACTTCAGTCAATATCTCATACATTTTGCCAATTTTATAAAGACCCTGCCCAAACGAGGCATTTGCTAAAATTACTATAAAGAAAAAATATAATATGGTGTATGTAATCTTTGACATACTGCCCATTATTTGAGATTAAAAGTGTAAGGAAAGAAACTTTATTGAGAAGGTATAGAAAAGATAAAAGTCAGGTAAGTTAATATTGTGATTGAGTGGCTTAATTGGCAGGCGAAATTCTAAAGAACCTATCCTGCTGCTCCATTAGGGGAGGAAAGAAACAAACGAGAATTGCGAGCCTTCCTAACTGTTTGTTAATTAACTGGATCCTGCTGGTGAATTTTCTGGTGTTAGAGTGTTCTGAGGGTTTAGTCTAGGAAGTATTGAATAGGTCAGAGGGATATTAGGAGTTTTGTGTCTTTTATCATTTTATGTGTCTAATGGTTGGGGTAGTTGAGTGTCTCAAAAAATTTCATGAAGGTTGTTAGCTTATTATGGTTTGTTGGTTGGCTGGGGACATTGAAGTGCTATTTCTAGGTATGATATATATCTTTGTTCTGCGGGGTAGTAACAGGAGTTGATTTCCCTCAAATTATTGGCTTTAGACACAGTCTTGATCATTATGCTGGGCTATATCTCCTATCCAGTTAAGGTTTATATATATGTGGACTTCTTATCAAAATTTTAGGGTAAGGATCTAAACATGGTGGGATGAGCTTGATGTTGTGGGTTAAGAGAGCAGTTTTAGGTTTACAAGGAAGCCGAGGTATGTCATTGGGAAGTTTGAAGAATTGGAATGTCAAAGTCTTTTGTGATGTTTGGGTATTGACAGGATCGATCTTAAGAAATGAAGGTTTAAGTGGGCTCTTTGGTTGGTGGTTGGTGGTTGGTGGTTGATGGGTGAAGAGGGGTCAATTTGTTACATGGAATTTTGTATGTTGGTCAAAGTAGGAGAATGCTTTGTCCAAGAACATGTGGTAAGTAGGGAAGTGTTAGTGGAGGTTTCTACTGAAATTTGACTTTTCAGCACTCTTTGTTCAAAGAGTGAATTCGTTGTTATCAAAATCGCTGGAAAGCTGTAGCCAGTGCTGGGCACAGAAGTTTGTTTCAAAAGGTTTTTGTATTGTTCATTCTTTTGGTGAAGTTTTTGATGGGTAATGGTGCTAATGTTAGGTTTTGAAAAAGTTCTTCAGCAAGAGAACATCCATTTTTCAATATTGGGAGATGAGGCTTCTCTATAGTCTATATTCTATAAGGGTTCCTAGATTCTCTTATCATTCTTTCTTTCTTTCTTCTTCTTCCATTTTTTTCCTTTTCCGTATTGCTTGTATTGTGTTACAAAGATAGGTAGTCTTGTTCTCACTTTTTCTTACACTTTGGTTGAAAGGGAGTTCTTAAGCCACAGGAAACACCCACACCCTCAAAAATACAATTTCTCTTCAGCCACAAGCTCTACCAACACTACTTTTTTCCAGAGCAACTTCTTTTCCTTCACTCCTCCAAACTCCACTAGCCGAATCTGTAGCCATTCTCCAACATCTAACAACAAATCCGAGGCAGCATGTATCAATCGTCTATCAACAATCTTAACTTATTCTTATGATGGTGCTGCATAGAACAGGAGTAGTATTGATTAGGTAGTTGGTATATCACTTGGCTCTAGCTTTCTTGCAAGAATGCATGGACACTAGATGCCCACTTAAGTGGCGGAAACTCCTGTAGCTGACCCCAAACTTAGCATGTGAGGCTGATTGCTAAAGCCTTGATTTAGATTTGTTAGGTGGTGATCTTGGGTCATTTTCTGATAGTTGACAATCAACAAGTTAATTTAATTCTGTTCACTGTTGCTAATTTTTAAAAACTCTTGCAGGAGTTGATGCATTAGACCTTTTCAAAGGCGAGAACAAAAGTTCTCGAGCAATTAAAGGCGCACCAGCAGAATCATTATTTGCACAGTTTTGCTTAAATTCTCTGTGGCTTGGTAACTGCAATATACGTGGTAATTCCTAACTGGGAATCTGGTGATTAAGTATTATAAACTTTATTGTGTCTCTTGTTTAACATTGATACGAAAAAATAGGAAAATATAAGTAAAAGATGAGAAAGTAAAAAAGTGATTACCCTTGGTTCTTCCAATGCCTTCTTTCTTCTTAAACTTTTCCTTTTTCCTCCTGTCTGTTTAGCTATAGCCATACTCTGGATTGAGTTTGTTCGAGAAGTTCGTTGGTGCTGGGAAGAATCGCAACCATTGCCAAGAATACCTATCAATGACACCATTGACCTTTCCTCTTGCTTGATTCATCAGAAATTGCAGATGGTAAGCTTCACCAAGATCAAAATTTGTGGATTTTGTAAGTTCTTTTATGCAATTTTTTTTTTATGCAATTTTTTTATATTTTTTAAAAATATATAATCTATTGTATGCATGTAATTCTTATCACCCAGCTTGCGATGTGTATTGAAAAGAAGCGTGAAGCAAATGCAGAATTCTTTGATGCTACAGAAGACAAAGATGGTGTGCCTAACTACATGGAGGTGATTATGTTGTCTCTTTGCACCTCTTGAGCTACCCTGTTAATGTTCTTTGTTTGCTAACACACTGTCAATGGAACTGTAGGAGGATTTGCCATCCAAGCCAGATTCCACTAGAAATATGGATAAGAAAACTCACAGGTTAGCAAGAAAATTCTATGAAATTGCTCTTTGGCTGTTCTCTGCACGTATTGTTTCTTTTTAAGAGCAAGCAACCCATTTCTGTATCATTTAGGAATCACTTGTGCTCAATTCTTACCCTGGAGTCTGGAATGAATTGCTACGATCCAGTAACTCCCTATTTTTTCTATCCATTTTCTTTAATATAAAATATTTTATTTTTTAGCAGAAGTAATCTGAGTTTGGGGGTTGTTGCAATACTCCCAGTTACGGGAATAAGAGGCTCATATAGTTATTTTAAATCTTCTAATATACAAAATAAATCATACTAGGAAAATTATTACAATCAAAACAACTAATAAAATTCAAATATATAGAGTTGAATTAATCTCGTTTATTCTAATGAGCTTATATTTTGCTTGTATAACTGTATACTCAACTCCTTAAGTCATGAATATTTGAATTTGCATCCTCAATGAACCCATTAGTTTAGAGCGAAAATATAGTTTATGATCTTCATTGGAAACAGAATAATTAAAAGGTTACTACCTTTAATCTTCCCTCATTACGAAAATACTTTTATATTCAAATTAGTTCAAAGGGAACCTTTTTGCTATCTCTTTGACCAGGTTTTTGGGAGTAAAGCTTCATTTGATATATACTTTAGTTTAGAGTGTAACTCCTTTTATAATCAATTGAATGTGGGGATTCAACCTCCTTTTCAAATCCTTTAAAAAACATATGAGAGGTTAAAGTCCTCTCTCTCTCTCTATGCCCTGTGATATGGGGTCCATAGGCTCTCTTGATATTACATATCAAAGGAACTTTGATGTGTCTTTTAAACTACTCAGTAATGGTGGGTTTGTTGGAATCATGGAAAGAGGGATCATGTGAAAATTTGATGGCTAGTATGATGCCAAAGTGAGCATGAAAAAGGTGATTGATTTTTAATTTGTGAGATTGTTGAGAGGAACTGATCTGAGAGAGCTATTGGATGAGTTAAGGCCAAAGGCCCAAAAGTGATTAGAATGGGCAATAATTGGTAGTGTTTTTGGGGAGGGGTATGATGCCTTAATTTTGTTCCAGTTTGGCAGGCATATGATCTGTGGTTGGAATTTCTGGTTGTACTTGGAAGCAGAGGGGGTAAGTGTGGTTTCTCTACCAAGGGATCTAGAGATGGGAGTGTTAACACTGGCTGATTAGGGGCTATAGGAAGGTTGCAGACCTAGCAGTTAGCTGGTTAGGTGACACTGATTAGGATAATAATGACTATTGTTAATGGAAGTGGAATTAGGTGTTCTTTCATGGAAGTCACCTAGGGCTTCAGTATCCTTGTGCAAAAGGATGGAGAGAGAGAGTTGTGCATGATGTGGCTCTTCGGGTTTTTTTAGAGGCGCTTCTGGCTTGTAAGGAGGACTTGTTAGGCCATGCGTGAGGATATGCATGAGAAGCGTGTGGCAGCATGTTATTTATTTGACCGACTGTGTGTTAATGACTTGATGTCAGACATCATGCGTGATATAGAGATTAAAATCTGCAAAGCAGTGACATTGCTGTTTAGGGGCTGTCAAAACTCAAAAGGTCTTCCCACTATTATATTCATTAGAATGGGCGACATTCTGGGGTCTTGTAATCTGATAAGCTATTTCTCAGCCGGGTGTTATGTCCTAATCATTGGTGGTTTGGTACCTGTAGTTATTTGTTTGACTTTTTAAAAGTATCTTGTTTTAAATGTTGGCACTGAAAGCATATCGGTTACTTAATAAATAACTGTTGGGAATGCAGAAGGAAGAGACGGGATGATTTGAATGACACTCAAGAAGCAGTGAATGACCTTAATGCCCTTGATGTGGCATCTGATCGCATTAGACGAGGCTCAGCTGGTGTTGCAGGATCAATGACGCTGCTGAGTTCATGCCAAAAAATGCATGCTCCATTTACTCAGGTTTTCTGACTTGTCTATGTGCTTGTACTGTGTTTCTTTACTTCTTATGTACAGTATATATTTTTCCAGATGTTTGTTTTCGTCATGCTTATTTTATCTAGTCCTTAAAATTATTCTGAATCCTGTTGTGAATTGGTGATAGGATGCACCACCAATGACAGAAGATATTCATGATGAACGGCTGAATGCTGTTGCTGCATTCGGTGATTCATTTGTAAGTAATACGGAGTACTATTTTTTCAACATACAATCACATACATTAAACCATTCTGGTATTCAGTGATTTCACTAGTAGCAGCTGTAATTAAATGGCACCACATGGGTCATTTGAATATGCAAATAATAATAATAATTTTCACAGTATTGACATTCAGTTATTTTCTATTGGTCATTTGTAAATACAGATGAGAATGATTTTTCATAGTATGTTTGGAGTAGTTTTAACTTTTAAGTGAAAAGAATTCAAGGGAATGGACTGGGTAATGGTTTTCAAGCTTTAATGTGGACTGTTGAGGCTCCAGTTAATGGAAGAGACCAACCTTACCTACCTTGACACCGCTGTAACTTAAAGAGTCAAGACCCCACCTTTCATTTGTACAGAGACTTCAGTCATGAGCTTGGTGTGTGTGTTTTTGGAAAGGAGTAGGTGTATATTGTCTTCTCTCTACCATTGCTAAAGATATTTCTTATACTCTGGTTAAGGAACTCACTGTAGTAGATTCAACCAGATTTCTTCTTCGGACCAAGAGGACAGTATTTGGTACCTTTGTTTAGTGACTTTAGTCTCAAAGGTGGGCCATCATATATTTGGATCCCCGGGAGGGGGAAAGGGGGGTTCCCTCCTTGTAAATTAAGTTTCTTATATGAAACCATATGTTGATGTGCCCATGTCATCCCCTCCCCTTAATTCTTTCAAAAATGATGAATGATTTTTCCATTTGGAAAACCGTTGAAGCTTCCATTACAATCTCCTTACAATTAAAAGCTGATGTGCTATAGGCCTACAACACACAGTAAAGCTTTGGTTATGAATATGAGCTGCAAATGATATATTAAAATGACTGCTGATGTTATCGATAGTAGCAAGTAAATCAATCTGTTATTTCCTCAGAGAGAACCCTTTCTCTCAAAATTAAGATGTTTTATAGAAGTTTTATATAGTGAACAAAATTAATTATCATGAACTCAGCAAAGATTATGTGATTTTATTGCAGAGCTTTTCTGCCCAGTTAGAGAAAGAGATCTTATCATCTGGTAATGATCTTTGTAACTTATTTTTCCTTTGGAATTCTTTTACTATTACACATAATTACTCTCTCAACCCCCACCCTCCACACACTCACACACACACACACACACACACAAACAAACAAGTATCAACAACTGAGACTCCTTGGTTTACACATTCCATAGTCAGGCATCCTTCTATTGATGGTTGCAAGATTTGGGTCTCACATTGTACGTAGTAAATATGACCACACAAAGAACTCGTTTGCTGCTATGTTTTTTATTTTAAGATGACTTTTTGAATTATTAGAGATGGGATCAAATGGAGAGAGAAATCAAGGATTCTCTTGCATATATATTTTTTTTTTTTTTTTTTTTTTTTTTTTTCTCACTAGCCGTTATTTAGAGTATTCCATGACAGAATATGGTCCAGAGTGCAGATATTTTATTGATCCCCTATCTGCAATATCAATTACAAAGTCTGCAGTACCCTTGGATAGCTCCATTGTTGGAATTTTCATGGAAACCAATTGAGAAGCAAGGATACCTAGCTATAATTTCTCATTTTAAAAACTCCATGATATTATAGTGCAATGCTGAAATTTTAATGATCCATTTGTCTTGACTTTCTGCTATGTCAATTCCAAAGTGTGCAGCATCTCCCTCAATTGGTACATTGCTGAAGTGTTCAATTACTCATACTACCTAGTCTAGCTAGAATAATTTGGCTCATGTTTTTAATTAAATGTTGCAAGTTATCTGCATTATATCCTACTTATAGATTATGATAACTGTTATGTATTTCTGTTAAGCAGACATGTCAGCTTTTAAAGCAGCGAATCCAGATGCTGTGTTTGAGGACTTTATTAGATGGCATTCACCAGGAGATTGGATAAGTGATGGCAATGAGGGAAGCAAATTATCAGGAACTCGATTGAGTAGCGATTGGCCTCCAAGGGGACGACTTTCAAAAAGAATGTCTGATCACGGGAATTTTTGGCGGAAACTTTGGAATGATGCACCTGCTTTGGCAGCTTATGAGCAGAAACCACTTTTGGACCCTAATCGAGAGGGAGAAAAGGTACGTTTTTTTTATGTTATTCCAATTAATTTTATTTGAAGCCACTTGTCGGACTTGAAAAAATCTTTTGTATATATGATGCATAAGAATTTCAATTTAGAGATAGGGAAGTGTCTCCAAAGCCCCGCTGCAGTTTTCTTGTTGCCAACGCATTATTGGTTTCAGATTTATACTACCTCCGTTAACAGTTATTTGCAACAAAGGGGGACTCCGAGGAAAAAGTTTTTAAACATGATTATTGAAAAATAAGGGTATGTGGTTAAGTATTTATCCTACCTGAAAAAAGAAAAAGAAAAAAAAAAAAAAACCATAACCACCGAAACCCAGAACCACCACCAAAACCACTGAAAACCACCAGAATCACCAAACCCACCGAAACCCAGACCCAAAACCACCACCAAAACCACCACCAAAACCACCGAAACCCAACCACGAACCTAGCCAAAAACCACCACGAACCAAGAAACCCAAAACCACCACCAAAACCACCGAAACCCAACCACGTACCCAGCCAAAACCACCATGAACCAAAACCCAACGAACCACCACCACGAACCAAAACCACCATGAACCAAACCCAACCAAAACCACCAAGAACCACCGAAACCCTTCGACTACCACCAAGAACCACCGAAACCCTTCGACGAACCACCAAAACCACCGAAACCCTTCGACAAACCACCAAAACAACCCCCACGAACCACCAAAATCACCCACGAACCATTAAAACCCTTTTACTACCACCAAAACCACCCCCACGAACCACCAAAACCCTTCGACTACCACCAAAACCACCCCCAAGAATCACCAAAATCACCGAAGAACCACCAAATCCCACTCACCACCAATACCCCCGAACCACCCCAATAACCAAACCCACCCACGAACCACCCCTACAAACCTGCAAATCCACCCACATGCCACCAAATCCAACCACGAATCAAGCAAACCACCCATGAATAACCAGATCTGAAACCCACTAGAATGATGGATTGGAATTTGAAGAGAGATGAGAGATGAAGAAGATGAAATGAGAGATGGAGTAGAGAGAGATAATGGGGAGATGAATTGAGATTAATCTGATTATTAGGGTGGGAAGGCTTAGATAATTAATTTAGATTAAGGTTATAATCTTTTGTAATTATGTGTAGTATTATGTGCTAATAATTTTTAAGTGAGGGTATTTTGGTCATTTTGACAGAAAAAGTTACTAAAATAGGAAAGAAATAAGCTTGTTGCAAATAATAGTTAGCACCCTTTTTTGGTAAATGTTGCAAATAACTGTTAACGGAGGTAGTATATAAATTGTAATATTTTCACCCTTTGTATATATTTACCTGATATTGAATAAAATTGCTGACATTGGTAGATTCTTCATTACTTGGAGACATTGCGACCACATCAACTGCTTGAGCAGATGGTTTGTACAGCATTCAGAGCATCAGCTGACACCTTAAACCAGGCAAGCTTTGGTGACTTGAATCAGATGAAGAGCAAACTCGATCAATTTTATCTCACCATGGCATCTATGCTCAGGCCTCTGCAAGGTACTTCTGAAATATTTTATTTCTCCTTGTGTTTTCAATCGAAAATCATTCCTTAATTTCTTGGCATGCAGCAAATCAACTATCTCAGGACAGTGACATTTTTGAAGATCTTAAAAGGCTGTGCGTCATATTTGAACACGTAGAGAGATTGACAGTTCTGGCAGTTTCCCTTTATCGAAAGTTTATTCTTGCACCACGGCTTTTCAATGCGATATTTAGTGATTACTATAACTTTTACCTTCCCAGAATGGGTAAAAGTGAAGTGGAAGTCGACTTTCACAAGGTAAATTTTGACAAGAGCTTGCATATAACCTGAAACTTCAGTGTAGCAGACTAGCAGTACCTTGTATTCATACCTTTATGCATGCCTTGTACTCAAGTCACTTTTAATTCTGAATTCAGGCTTTTAGTTTAGCTGCTATCCATTTGGTACATATGATGTCTGCTACAAGTTCTTGATGATATGGTAGTGATTAGTGAATATAGTTTTTACATGAAATGTTCCATGCCCTTGTCCATGATAAATACGTTATCTCCCCATAATACATTTTTCTTATTGAATTTTGTCATTTATTGCATCTAATAGAGGTAGCAATGGTGATTGATTAAAATCATTAAAGAAAACTTACTTGCATTTGTTGCATCATATTACTTCAGTTGATCTTCTTGCAGATGGGTTGTGAAAACTGTGGAATTTTTTCTTGCTGATTACTGTGTGTGGTTATGAGAAACACAATCATCGTGATCTAAAATTGCTGTACTGCTCTTCAGGAGTTTGACCAAAGACAGCAAGTATGGATTGATGAAAGAAATGCCGTGGCAGATCTATTTGTACCACCTACCTCTAACCAGTCATGGAGAAAAGTGCTAAGCATGGGGAATCTTCTTAATGGCCATGAACCCGTGCTTAGAGAAATTATCTTTACAATGTGTGATGATATTAATGACCACCATTATGCAACCCATAATCCTCTAGGTCCTCAACAAGATATCGAAACTTATCGTATGTACATCGAAGGAACCTCAAATGATTTAGGTGTTTCCCTCTCGATTGTTTCATGTGATTAATTCTTTCAGTAAGTATTCTGTAAAACAGTTGTGTAACTTATGTTAGCAATCTTAGCACCCCCTTAATTTATGTGCTCATGAACAATTGAGAAACTAGTTCTGTAGCTGTTCTCGCTAGAGAATGCATATATATACCGTTAGATTGGTTAAATTAGCTCTGAAACTATTGATCAGCTTTGATGATGTATGGATTCATTGTAGAGAACTGTAATGACTAATGAGAATACCTGCTTAATTTTTACTTGGATTGGAATTTCATTCTACTTACTATATACATCATATGTGATTGATATGCATTGTACCAGCTAGTCCCTCACAAGCTCGGATCTCGAAAAGTCGACAGCAATCTGTTGGTTTCAGTAATATCTGTGACGCTGATACAAGATATGAGTTATCAAACATGTACAAAAACACTATATATTAGTAGCAACTTTCTTCAAGTAGAATGGTTTTCGTATATTGCAAAGCCAACAATAATAACAGTTTACCTACATTACTTATTAGTAGTCAATAATCATTACTGCTATTCCTGTTAGCAGTTTTGAACTTGTTTTGTGCTTCCTTCCATCCAAGCTTTTGATAGCATTCTTGAAAATAAATTCTTTACAATACGGAGTAGGGTTTATGAAAAAGGAAGCACATTATGGTCTCGAATGTATGATACGGAGTATACGAAAAAATAATTTTGCAAGGCTTATAGATCCATAGTCACTGAATTTTGCATTGTTTGAACACTGAATCAAGTGTATTAATTCATTTGGGTAGGATGACTCAAATGACAAGACATGAAAGTGAATAAAGAGACAAGAAAGTATCCTATCCATTTACGTCAAGTAGTAGGGTATAATTAAGAGTTCATATCTACCATCATGCAACATTAAATTCTAGCTACTAGACGATTGGCGAACATTGACAAATTTCCCTTATCATGGCTCCATCACTCTTGCTTCGTAAAAGATTTATCTTTTTATGATATTTAATTGAAAATTCATACATAATACGAAGTATTATTTAACCCAATAATATTTATTTATCTTTTCATCTTTTTACATAATCTTATTATTAGCAATGATATGAAAGCAATGCAAGCTTATTAATTATAAGAACACCACAAGAGAATACTCCTTCAAATAAGTGCTTTGTGATCAAAAAACAAATATAAAAGCATGGTATATATTTTGTGTTTGCACCTTCAGCTCCTCAACCACCTCATTGTCTTTTTCATGATATTCTTGATGCTTCAACAACCTTTGCTTGCAATCACCTTATAAGTAGTCATTCAAAAATGAATTAGATCCTCATAGTAAGCACTTGCCAAAAGATACCAAAAATCACATCACAAAATAATTATTAAAGTTAGAACCACCTAGAAGATCAATGACATCAACCGTATCAGATGTATGCATGGCCAATACATACGTAATTGTTTTATCCACAATACAATACCCTAATTTTGTAACTAATTGGACAGTGCAGTAGTTTAGAATTGTAGATCATCTCAAGGATGATAGGGAATTGGAGGGAAGGAGAGAACTAAATGATAATATTCGTAGTAGATTGGATCTAATACTTCGAGTTATGTAATAATTAACCACGTTTGTGTATATGTTTGTCAATGCGCATGTACTCCGTATGTGTTTTGGTGAGGGTAGAGATACAAAATGAGTAAAAACTAGAAATAAAGACAGATTAAATTCGGTACGTAGTCAGTTTGAATTGGAGATTATTAGATCAAATATAGCCGAATGGTATATATTAAATTAGCATGTATGCTTGTGAACATGAGTGATACTTCATATATACTCCGTACAATAAGAAGGGTTGTGAAATGTATTAACCAATAGAGCTCATCAAGTCCTTGGTGTATTTGCTTGATAATGCATATTCGTTTACTCCATGCATGTTTGATGTCATTACTTAACGATGAATTATTAACATTAATAGTGAGCAGGTTAGCTAGTAGACATGGTGGAGCTTGATCAAATATTTAAATAATATATATAGATAATTTAATTTATATAATGAATTTAGTTATCATCAATTATACTCAATATTAAATAATCGTGAGGATGAAATGGACACACATTTTTGTCTTGATTTTGGGGTTTAAGAAGCTAAAATTTGCAATCTGATAAGAAGCATTGGATGCTCGTTCTTTATACGTACAAAATATACATATAAATATTATAAAAAGACAAAGGAAATTGTTGTTTAACTTTATAATTATTCTAGGAATTGAATGATATATCCTACGACCATACCATGCACTAATTGTATAATTTAACAATAATTTGAAACAACTTGATTACTAGTCTTACTTGGTAGATACATAAATAGGCTGTTGGCTACCTTTTGATTCATATATAGGCCCTCATAGAAATAAGAAAATTAAATGGTGGTTCCTAGTGACATTATTGGATCAAATTAGGTCTTTTTTTCTAAAAAAAATAGAAGGAAAGAAAATTCTATTGAGTATTGTGCACTGATTTTAATTTTTTTGGTTCATATGAGCCACTAGGGCGGGGGATAAGAATCGATCCCAGGATCACCTGAAATCGGGAGAAAAGCTTTTACCAACTGAGCTATCCCTCACTCTCTGCACTGATTTTAATTAATACAAAGTACTTCGTATTATAATTATATTTGGCAATTAGCAATTACTTGTAAGCTGATTGTATTATATGGTAACAATAATAATAATAATAATAATAATAATCATCGATGTAAATGGGTAAAATTGTTTTAATAACTTCTAGCTATTTTATTGGGGAGATATTTGAAAACTTGATTGTACAACTACATTTACGATACTTATTCATCTTATTCTGTATTTTCCGCGTACATAAAGTTCAAAATAAAATGTAAACTTTACTATAATTAAATTAAACAACAACAAAAAGACACTTGTCATATAATCTGGTTAAGAGCTCTATTTCTCAAACTAAGTGTAGATAGCAAATTCTTTTGAAAGAGGAAAAATTACTATGACCATTCAAAATTTGGCCATGAGATACCACATCAAGTAAAAAGGACAATAAGTTAATAATAAGTTGATTCAGCATCAAAAGGACTATAGTGGAGGATAGAAAGAAAAGTTGATAACTAATGATGGTGATAGGCGTCGTTATGCCTAATTGCCTACTACGGAGTATAAGAAAAACTTAGCTTTTCGAAATCAGAATCATATCAAACAACAAAGATTCCTGAAATATAATTTGAAGTTTTGTTAATTGATCAGTATTTTATTAATGTATACATGGGTCTAGGCTGTTTAAGTTAATGACTTAATGTGAAAGAAAGTTTGAATGTGATACAATTAAGCTTAATACAAGTTCTATCCCAAAATCAATCGATGATAAGAATATTAACTTCTCATTACAAAAAAAAAAAAAAAAAATATAATGTTTTTTTATGTTTGTTGTTTGCCTATTTAAAGTATTTATATTTGTCAATACAAATATCTTTGACAACAATCTCTTACATATATATATATATATCGATAGTAATATTCTCTCCTACTAATCACTTTGATATATAGCAATGTAATGTCCCTTATTAATTTAAAATTAAATACTTCTTACAATATTGTTTATCGAATTCGAAGGCATGCAACTACAACAATTAACAATTCCTAAATAGTTTATGAATCTAGATTTTGTATGAAGAGCTAGACATCACATCCAAAGAACAAAGTGCAAAAGAACTCAAAATAATTTTTTGACCATAGTTTCAAGACATTAATGAGAAGAGGTCCCTTAAAATAAATTGAAATTTCACCCTATTTCTACCATGGACCAATGGTGATGTGCCACGTGGACAATCTAGTCAAACTCCAAATGAAAACCACATGAATGAAGCTAATAAATATCATGAGTACAACAGATAGTGCCTTGCATGTACAAATAATACGGCCATTCTTTTTCTGGCCTATATTTTGCGCACAAGATCGAAAGTCTCGGAGGGTTCCCAATCACCCATTCTTTTCCTTTGACTATAACCTTCTTATTACTAGCTGGTCCATGTTTTTAATTTGTGTTTATTGATTTTACAATTGTTGTTTCCTTAATTTTACATATCTTTTTATGAGGAGCCTGATAAGTGTTTATCAAGGAAAAACGTTAGTTAAATACTCAATGACCTAAGCAATGATAATAGAAGGTTCAAACTATTGGACACACGAGAGTAAAAGAAATTGACAGTACTAGCATAATATTTAAATTTTTCCGTCTCTTCTTTTATAAGCTCATTTTGTGAATCTATGTACATATGGGTAAAAGTGTAATTTCAATATGAAAAAAGAGATACTACGTATTAATTTTGTCGAATAATATTAACCGATGCAATTATTATTTCAAATATGCAATGTTATCACGTGGAAAAATAAAGGTTGGGGTGAATCGGAAATCCCCTCCAATGTTTGTATGATTGTATTTATCAATCCACTAATCAAATTAGTGTAATTCCTAATGGACTTATCAAGAGAGGGGAGTGGGTTTAAGCTTCAAAGGGCATTTTGGTCATTCTATTGGTTTATTGGGCTATTTAAAGATACAATGTGAAAACCCAAACACGTACTCATAGTCTCGCAGCCCTTATGCCCCCCTTTTTTTTATTATTTTTTTTTCTATCCTTACCCATTTTATAATAAACACAAAAGTTTAAAGTTCTATTTTTTTTTTTTCAAACTTCTATAAAAAATAAAACGATAAGCAAGCTTCCGTATAACAATTTTTCATGCTTAAAATAGGATATTAAGAGAAGTAGAACATAGATTAGTTGATCTAGAAATAAAGAACAAAATTAGAAAGAGGTTGTTTAATAAAGAAGACAATAGTCATATTCCATAAAGCATTACTCCTCCTTTTCTTCGACTTGTTATTGGTTGGAATAGTATTTCATTTGAATATATATATTGTACATAAACTTTGTCTAAGTGAAATCTTGATAGGGGTTCGTCTTGGTGATTAATTATAAATTATATTAACTGTTTATAAACTTTGTGTACTACTACATATATACGAAGTATTAGACATTTGAATATTTAATGCTCAAATGCATGTATGCAATAAAATTTTTGTGATGGAAATGATAGATTATATAAATCGAATTTGAGCTTTTAATCAATCATCTTTAAGCTCGATCAAAAGTTTAAGCTGATGGTTAATCAAGATACAACTTAAAATCTGGAGAAAGGAGTAGCAAAAGTGTAAATAGATAATTACTAAATACTTCGTGTTATTT